TTATAAAGTTTTATCACATCAGTATCATTTGATAAAACATTGTTTTTCATATTTTTTACAATTTGTAGCAAAATAATAAATATATACTTTTAGGAAAGAAACAGTACGTCTATTAAAAATACTTTACCTAAAAGCGTCCCTTAACACTGCAACAGGCTAGTATACATTCTCGACTTACACATATTATAATTTCAATTGTTTTTCCATAATTAGTGACTGATTTGTTTATTTGAACGTAACGTTGTACAATTATATAATTTTATTTATTGATATATGTGCTACCAACCGTAGTAAGAAACATTCTTAATTGAATATAATTTTGAGGTACTTTTTCTATCTTAGATAATGTAAAATAAAGTTGTTAACATCTAACTAAAAGATATATTTTTTAAACTAGCATTCCAGGCATATATTTAGTATTTATTAGTAGTATTATTTCTATTAATCATTTTCACTAATAAAATAAGTACAGGCTGTTCAAATTAATTTTTTAGAGCGATTTCTTAAGCAAACCGCAGAACAGAAAAAAATACAAAAATAAAACGTACAAAGAACATTTTGCCCCTTTTATCTTTTTTAGTAAAGACCAAAGATTTAAGCCATTTTAAGGCAATGAATAAAAAACAATTGACATTTCGAAGATTTAGATCAAATTTCCTCTCGTTTTTCTGGTTACAGTAATAAACACATTAGATAATTGCTTTAAAAATTTGCACAATATTTTGGCATATTTATTGATTTTGGACATAGTCTAGTTACTAAACAAACCTTTAAATTCTCTATTAAGAAAAAATATCCTATTATAAGAAGTATTTTATAATACCCTACCCTTACAAAGTTTATTTCATGCAAGTTTTTGAGTGCCGTCGCTATTGATAGTACTAACTTTGTTCAATATTTTCTTCTTTAGGTCACACTAATTATTAAATCTTTCTTTGTTCACTTTATCTTTCAGAATCCTCCATGGAAAGAACTCCATTCAGATCATAAAACTGGCCTTGCAGATCAATTCTCAAAATTAATTTATAAGAATGTTCTTTGTTTACAACACAATGAGGTTATTATAAAACACCTTTTATAGTACAATACTTTTTTTAATAAGATATATAAAGATTTGTTTAGTAAATTTAATAGCGAAAAAGCATAAATATGCATGGCAATCTTCACTTTATCAATATCAATAAACCAAAATATACTCCAAACTGTCAAAGCAAATATATGACACGTCTATATCACTGTAATTAGGAAATGGAATGAATTCTGATAACTGACAAAGATGCAGAAAGATATTTAAAGAAACTAAATTTTAGTTTATATCTTCGAAACGGAACAAACTACTGTTTTTATATAGATAGATATCTCTGATGCTGCAACAAAATTCCCGACAACTTTAGTCTTTACCAATTTGTCTTGCTAGAAAGATAAAAAAGCGAAGGGGGTAGAATTTTATATAAATAATCCTATACAAATCAATGTTTCTTTCAAATAAGTATACGAGCATACTTTCTTTTCCTCTAAATATACTTATATTCTACATACTTATAAAAAGTTTTTTGGAAAATATAGTAATAATACATGCTTCCTGATTATTGCTAAACACCTTTTTCAAAAAATAAATTGGAATGTTCTGTAAAATTTTTATAAGCGATTTTATGTGCATATACATATACATACATGTATAGGAACTTACTTTACTCAAAATTAAATCTCTTAGTTAAAAAATATTCCCTCTCGACTTACCTTGTACAGGGTGTCCCGAAATTCATGCAACAAAATTTGGTCATAGATTCTTAAGGCAAATTTAAGAGACCCGTATTTTTTCTTTTTGCCAACTGGCCCCCTCTTTCGGAGTTATAGCCCCCTGATATCTGCCCCTAAGAAGTCTTTTATATATCTCAAAACCATGTTGTACGAGAATCACTAAATTTGGTACACAGGGGTTTTCTGGCATGTGGAATCTCACAGTGCTACGCTTTTTGGCGAGAAACCCCCTTAAAACACTTTTTCGTGGGCCCCCTTGTCTTTGGAACCAGAAAAATTTGATCGCAAATTAGATTTTTTTTAAAATTATTAGTTAGCTAGAAAATGATTGAATTTAGAAACTTTTTTGTCCCTTGATATTTGTTTCGTAAAACGCAATGTTTTTGAGAAAAATGACGATTCTCGAAATGCATTCGATCACATTTTGACATTTTTCACGAAATCATTGCGTTTTACGAAAAAAGTATAAAGAGATAAAAAGTTTCTAAATTTAATGGCTTTCTAGCGGACTGATAATTTTTAAGAAATTTAAATATGCGACCAATTTTTTTGGCTCCAAAGACAAGGGGGCCCTCGAAAAATTGTCTTAAGGGGGTCCCCCACCAAAAAACGTAGCACCACCAGATTCCACATGTCATAAAACCCATGTGTACCAAATTTAGTGATTTTCGTACAACAGGGTTCTGAGATATAAAAAAAAATGTTATTCTTAGGGGAGGACTTCAGGGGGTTGTAACTCTGAAAGAGGGGGCCACTTGGCAAAATTAAAAAATAAGGGTCCCCTAAATTTGTCTTAATAATCTGTGACCAAATTTTGTTGCATGAATTTCGGAGACACCCTGTATACTATGTTCTTTGTGACAGTTACAAAATTTCAGACGAGTATAGGTACCTATTAAATGAACACAATACATGAATCGGCTCGTATCTTAGTAGTGCACGATACTGATTAAGTAATTATAGTAACAACCGTTAGACAATCATGTTGCTAGTTCCCTTTAATGTCAGGTGGGTAGTATTTCTGAATTCAAATAACCTGTTATAGGTAGATATATACATGTCTTTTCATCTTCATTAGTGTTTTTAAATTTAATCTTGTCATATATTTGGGTATAAATAAAATAAATTAGATTTATATTCTTTGATTATTAATATTATTGTTAATAATATATTGCATAACTTATCTTTAACAATGGATATGTAAATTAAATACTCGTTCAATTTGTATATCAAAAATTCAAACATACACATTTAAAAGATTCACACTTTTTTTCTATTATTTGTTCATTATTATTTAAATATTATTGTATCAAATATAATTATATAATAGATTTTTATCTTAGCCAGAAAATGCGTATGCAACACTTAGGGTGCCAAATATGAAAAAAAAATGTAAACTATATATTTATCAAATTAACTAGAATTCTACATTTGAAGATAAAGTGGAAAACCATTACCATTACAGAAACACTTTCAGCTAAATATGCTTTTAGGTTAGTTTTAGTTTATTACGCACACCCATGTAAATATCATTCTATACTCAAATAAAAACATTTATTATAATCAACAACAAACAAGAAAAGAAAACTAAACAGTTTTCTTAAAATTCTATAATTTAAACTATGGCAAATGTTTCAGGTTATTAAATATTTATAGTATTTTACAAAAAATAGAGCTACTAGTTTTTTTTCAAAAGTGGTTTTTCACAAACCATACCTACTCCGTCTTTCTATACTCTAACACCTGCTTCACACCTATCTAGACAAATATTTGGAAACTCTCCGAATATTTTTGTATATAACTTACACATATAAATATTTTCTAAAACCGTCTGTCACTGCATATCACCTAAGATCATTAGGAAAATTATTATTATTTGATAATGATAAAACTATGATTTCGAAAACATTAATGGTCAACCAAATTATATCCCAAATATCTATTGATCAATCGATACAAAGCAATGCTTTGAATAGAGTTATTATTTTTTGTAGGTTTAAGTAAACTTATCACACAGCTGAATAAATTTAAAACATTGAAAACTATTTATTTCACAACAAAAATATATTTTTGAAAAATATTAAATTTTAAATGGGTACAGGAAATTTTAAGGTTAACACTAATGATTTTTTGGAATTTTTATTAAACAAATAAATTAATAATTCAGTTATTTAATATTTGTTCAACTATATGACCTTGAATGTAAATTAAAATAGAAAGTTAAAATTTTGCTATTATTCGACAGATTTGTATACAATATTAGTGAGTCTTTTTCTTTGACTAGTTAATTTATTAATCCGAGCTTCATCAATCTAAGTCAAGTATCTTCAAAATAAAGATTAAATAAATATATTTTTCCACAACTTCAATACTCTGTATCTTGAAAACCAATTTCTTTAAGGCTTCTTGGTTTAATGTAATCCAAAGGATGGCCTCCTGAGGTTATGTACTGAACTTGAAGACTAACTACATGCATGACCGAATATAGGATGTATTTATTTATTAATAATAAAGGGTGGTGCAAAGGCTTGTAATTTATAGATTTAAAATAAATTCCAAGTGTACTAAATATTTATTATGAAACAGAAATTTTTTATCAATATATGAGTTAAGTTGCATGAATACTGAATCAAATGATTTACTTAAATTTTCATCCCACGTTTGTATAGACAAATATTTACGAATTTTATAAGCATTCTTAACAAAATTTGTATGGTAGCCATTAAATTAAACAATGTATCGACAAATAGTCTATCCTAATAGTCAGTTACTTGAGAAGAAATACTATATAGATAAATTATTCTCTAATTCTGGTTCTCGAGTTCTCCGGTGTTTATGCATTTACTGACTCAAAAAATAAATTATTCGTGTTCGTTCACATATATCGATTATTTGTGAAAGAATGTTGAATAATCATACAGGAACGAGACAAGCAGCAGCCAAGCTTAGTGTTGATTTACCCACTTCAAAGACGGGTTTGGTAGCGAAATATACCAAATATGTGTAGAGCCGAGGTAAGTGAAATATATGACACCATAAGGGAGAAAAACAGGATAAATATTCACTGTTTTATAAAAATTTGACCGACCACCAAAATGACGCCGCAAAATTTGTCACATATGAGTGAAAGGTCCTATTGGGCCAGCCGCGGGTGAGACTAGTACGGCACCAGGAACCAGCCCGCGATAAGAACCTGACAGACTCCGGGACCTTGCCCCTTCTTCGGAGGTCTGTGACTCTTATAAAAGGTAATTGCTGACCCCCGCGCTACTCTAGTGCGGTGCCTCCAACAACAAACATGGTACCTTTCAAATACGTGAGTACCCCACTCTCCCTTTCTTTTAGGACACATATTGTGCTTAGAGTTTTAGTGATATTTCAGTGAAATGAGTGAGTTCGCCCGCAATCGTCTTCGATTTGGTGCAGCTTTGCAGCGGTCAAACACTTTCACTTGTAACCGAGCGTGGTTCTAGACGAACAGTATTCGTTAATAATTTCTCAGCCTTCTAAGATTATCTTATACTTTATCCTTTAACAAAGCTTTCTTTTAAAGAAGAATAATTTATTTTCTTTTTCTTTTGAACTATATTATGAAATGAGAATAAGTAAAATTAATTATTCTATATAAAAATGTATATTGTATAGTTTTTATGATAAAATCAAATGGTAATAACTTTGCATTTAAGTAAGCTCCTTCTGTAGTTCATACATTTTTATGTACATTCGGCAATACTGTCAAAGGCCAAGTTGTTAGGCACTCCCTTAAAATGCATAAAATAAACACTTCAAGGTCATTAAAAATTTTATGACATTTTAATTAACCTTTTCGTGGCGCCCCCTGTATATGAAATTAGAAAATTATATCACAGTTTATATGTCCCTAAACATTAGACTTAAAACTAATCAATGATTTATTGTTATTATTACCTATATCATTATCTTTATTATGTATATGACAGTAAGTGATGTGTAATTACTTTACCTACTGCATAATAAAATACAAATACATTTATAAGGGACAAAGACATCTTCAACTTCAATTGTAGCCAATATCAACCACTTTTACGCTATGAGAATGTCTGAAAATATTTTTAGTAACCAGTTCTGTGTTCATGTACGTAGTTGCATATTAAATTTTATCTGATCTACCATGTAGTAATTATGTAACTAGCTTTTCTGATGCTCTTTCTGTATATTTTTATTTATGTCTCGGTTTCAGTAACATTTGTTTGCTACTTGACCTTTTATTTTACGCTTCTGTTAATCTTTATTTTTTGAAATTTATTATGCAACTTTATAAATACTTTTTCCGGACCTTACTTTTTTGTACTTATATTTGTTTCCTTCAAAACATTGTTCAGATTTCAGTGATCAATTTTTATTTTTCACTTCAATTGTAATTTATTATTCTTTTTTCAATTGAAGACTAGACCTATTGTGTTCCTATACGTGGTTTGATTTCTTTTCTAAGGCACTTAAATAAACAATTTATTTTGTCCTTGTCGTATGAAAGTAATCTACTTTAGTTATTTAATGTTACATTCCTTTATGTAGTGGGAGAACGGTTGTAAAGTGAGAATTGGAATCATGTTTAATTAACAACTAAACTTTAAACTATATCGATTTGGTACATTAAATCACAAATAACATTACCATAACCATAAATCACAATTGTACTGTCGCAAGAGGTTACCATACGTGAACTAGTATATAATATAGGAACTGGGAAATATCAGTAGTTTATATTGACCGCATTATTTCACGAACCTACACTAACTATATTTATCCTTTGTTTCCTAGTACAACTTTGCAGACATTTATATGTAAACTCTTAAATCATGACCTTGTAGCGCAACCTATTACAGATACATAATGATTAATGTCCAACGGCAAGCAAACTGCCCATAGGAAAATCATATTGTATGCAATTTGTTTTGCCGAGCTTAGATAGAGGTACAGTTTTTATATTAATTTATACTTTTGAAACCTATTTCGCAATAATACCCTCCAACCGGCGACTTCGCCATATTCTAGAATATTGTTTAAATATATTGAGAAATATTTAAATATATAGAATATACAATAGGAACACATATAGAATGCTTTACATGCTATATATTCCCTAATCAGAAGAAAATCTAGACTAATGGCAAATGATCACTTTAAAAAATCGTAGATCAAAATTTGTAGACATGCAGGGATTTTTTCATTTTGTTTTTATTTATTTTGGCTACAACCTTTGAATTATTTATACAAGTTAATTTATTTTTGGAATACGTCATATACAACTGAAGGCCACTGAAGTAAACATCTTAAAATTTCAGAACGGGACTGAGAAAATTCTTTTTTTGGCCCTTCCGAAAAATTGACCCTGTATAATTCTCTACTTTTTATAGTATAATAAAATTACTTGAAGCCGTGAGAAAACTAATTAACAAAAAAATTTGTCCTATTTTTATGAGCTTCTTAGTATTATTTTAATAATGAGAGCAATTTGAGTAAATATCTAAAATGTTATTTCATACAGGGTGATTCATAAATGGTAACCAAACATGAAACCTCGTATTCTTTAGTGACTTTTAAGGAGAGTATTTCCTATACGAATGAACAGAGAACACATTTCGATATTCGAATATAATGCTTTTTAAAATTACATAGTGAGCTGCGATAGCAACTTTGACATTCTGATCAGTTAGAAAAAAGAATAAATAATGCTTTTCATCAGATTCAAGCAACCATAAATTTCGAACAAATTACATTTTCGTTACTAAAAAGATGTTGGGCGTGTGGTCGTGGAAATTGAGGTATTTTTGAGCATTTACTCAAATAAAATCATTAAAATGATGACTAATGTGATTAATTTCTTTACTTAAATAAATAACAGATTGATTAGTGCTTGTCGTGTAAAAGTGTTTACAGTTGGATTTTTTTAAGTTTTACTCGAAAATCAGACTTTTTCGAAGAACATATAGAGTAGTAATTTGTAGAAAATTGAAAGACGAATGCGAAAATATCATGGTTGTTACCGTAAAGCAGTGGCGTACTATTTTATTTAGAAAAATATGCCACCGATACCCTGTATCTGCGCCACTGGAGCATGTAAATTTTAGGCAATGCCCTCAGATTTTGGACTATGTTTACATAAATACCTGTGCCCAATTTCAAATTATTTCACTTACTAGTTTTAAAATTATTTTTAAATCTGTATATTTTTAACGAAGCGTCCTAGATAAAAGTTTATAGGAAAGGGGAGTCTTTCCTATAAACTTAAAATTCGCCAAAGGATACGAGTTTTCATTTTTGGTCACCTTTTATGAATCATCCTGTATGAAAGTATGAGGCGGTGACAAAAACTATACATTTGAATTTTTAGCCATATTATTTTCGATATCTGAAGTAACGAAATTCTAACACATCTTTAGAATAAATATTTCGGTATTATTCGGTAGAACAGATATAACATTTTTCGTATTTCCGTTCTATTATACTCATTCTACGATATTTTGCTGAAATTTCTTAGGTATTTATGCAAAATTAAAATATTCTAAGTCTTATGGAAAAACATTTATTCACCTGTCACGTCTGAAAATTCTCCCTGGGTATATTTAAGTTATTAGATTTTAATTGCGTGCACGCATTATGATCTTTCGTTACCTAGTAAATCAGCAAAATCTCTGTTACAATAAATTGTTGTTGAAAATTATTAAGTAAAACTAACAACTATGTATTAACAAATCAAATTGTATGTATGTATTTCCAATATTCCATATGAAGCAATAGAAAAGGTAAGAGGGGTCACAAATGTATAGGTCTGAAATTTTGGAATTTTTACTTCAAGAACTTAATTTCCATAAATGATTAGGACGCTAAAATAAGTTTTAATGAAAATTCAAAAATCACACTGAATATCTCGAAATTTTGACGTAGGACTTTCTAATGGTTCGTTCTGAAACATCCAGTGTATAGAAATAGAATATTCTAGGTATCTATTTTCATTCTTTTCTTAATGATGGATTCTTCGTTTCCGTGATACGAATTCTTAAAGTTCAAAAAATTTCATTTAAAGAAAATTCCTGAAGATTATAGTTAAATTTGATATGCAGCTTCATTTTTGATTGTCTACAAACGTACCATTATATAATTTTTTTGGAAACATATAGTTTCGATGATATTACAAATTGGATTAACTATAATACCTAATGGAGCTTTACAAAAATGTATTTCTACTACCCCTTACTAGGATTTACGTCACTATCGTCAGTAATGGCAAAAACTTCAGTAAATTGTTGCAAATTGCAACGAATAAGGAGGGCTACAATAATATAAATCTGTACATTTTGACAAATTTGTACAACGACCACAAAAATTTTTACTTTTGTAGCTATTTCAACGAATAAATGCAATTTTTAAGCAAAATTTAACAGTACTTGTATTTTGAGTGCCTTCTTATCACCTATCTGAATATCAAACAGAAGTTGATAGATCATATCATGTAGAATTTTGCTCGGAAATATACTCAATGAAGTTGTAAAATATTTATGTCTACTGACGGAAACAAAAGCCAAACAACCTGTTTTCTTTGTGACGTCATTTATGTTATGCCCTCTCCTTGATGTGCAGTTATATAAACTGGTAATACTTCGCTAATTACATCAGCGACATGCATGTTTACTTTCGATCTAAAATTATTTGTTTACTTTCTTTAGTTGAAACTAGAAAACAGTTAATAATGAATTAAGTTTAAAAGAATAACAGTAAACCTATGATATATTTAAGTTTGCTGGAATACTTCGAAAAATATTTGTTAATATAAATGTAGATATAGCGACCAAATACCCTGATAAAACTGCATGTTAAAGATATATAATGAAATTGTTACCCATTCATTTTTCAAATAAACTGATTCAAATCCAATTTTTATTATTTATGTTTACATTGCAGTCTAATACGCATTTACTTAATAAAAAGAATAGCAACAGCTTCACATACTTACTAGGTATTCAAAATTTATTTTTGCAAATTATTTTTAAGATTCCGTGAACGTTCCTCTATTTTATTTTATTTTATTTAATACACTGTTCAACAGGTACTACCCAATTATAGAACAGGGATTTTACAGACAATAATAAAGGAAGTACATTAATTACAAACAAAAGGAACAAACAAAAAGAAAAAAAATACAAATACATCATCATCATCATCATCTATTGTACCTAATATACTGTAGATGCAAACTAAATTGTCTCCTAATCTTTTCAGAATGAAAAGTATAAAAAATAAGGGTACCTTTTCACATCATCCTTTTTCCAAAAATAA